GTTTGGGGGCGGACGACTGGACGGGGATAACCGTAGCCCCCCGCGCGCCGTGCAACCGCCGGCCAGGTGTATGCACGTTGCACGTGTGAGGGTGCGCGTGCGTGAGGGTGTCGGGGCGCGTGCACCCCGCGTCCGCCCCCCACCGGGGATTCCCCCTTGGAAATGGGTCCGCGCCGGCGGCTCGGGAGAAGTTGAGCGCGGCAGCTCCACTCCCGCCGCGTCCGGGAGGCCGGGCTTGGGAGACAGCGGTCCCGATGCGTCTGCGGTCCGAGAGGGGCCTGCCCTCCTCCGGGGCTGGGCTCTGCTCCCCGGTGTGCCTCGACCTTGATTTTGATCTAGATCTGAAGAATCCGGGGATCTTGAGAGGCTTAGCTACCGGGGGGAAGGCACAGGTTTTGTTCCGAGGGTTTATTCGATGGACTTGGAGGCGGCAGCATCTGCAGACGCTGCGTGTATTCTGCAACGGCTGCTGGATTCCGCCAGATTTGTGTTGGTTCTTCCCGAACCCCCACCCCCCAAAACAAGCGCCTTTGGAAAGCCAATCTATGTGCTTCTATTTTTAGAAACTAGATGATGGACATTTAAACAACTCCCTGAGCTCGCCAGTTCAAGCCGACGTGTACTTCCCAAGACTGGTAAGTGATTTTTTTCTGTGATCTGTGTTCCTGCCTGCACCCTCTTCCTTTCTAATTGCATTTTCTAATGGGCCAGGTCCTCGGGATCTGAGGGCTTGGCTCTTCCCTTACAGACTGTAAACTTCCTGTTTCCCCTCTCGTCCTTTGCAGATAGTTCCATTTTGTGGGCATATTAAAGGTGGCATGAGACCAGGCAAGAAGGTGTTAGTGATGGGCATCGTTGACCTCAACCCGGAGAGGTAAGGCCGAGCTATCAGGCAATTACAAGGCCCTCCCCACTCCTATTTACTGCTCCTCCCTTTCCTCTCCCTGTGGCCAGTGTTGCTGGTTGGAAGTGCCAAGAAAGTACCATGTTCCCATGAAAAGAATGTGTATGAATCCCAGCCATCATTTCTCCAGACAGCTATTTATATCTAGAGATTATAAATATAGGCCCACATCATTTTCTCTTTGACCCTTAGGGAAGCCAAAGGATTTTTTTTAATGGTTTTTAAATATGGTGCTTGGAGTGAGAACTGTCAATATAAATGAGAACCAAATGTACAAGATATTTCCCCTGATCAGTTTTGGGGGCTGTTTTTGAGAATTCTGAAATGGATTAAGATACAGATGTGTGAGTGGTTTGGGGCATCTGAAATCCCCAATGTTAGTCATTTTCAACTCTATCAGAGCCTCTTTTATGTAACAAAATAGCTGGTTTGATTGTAATCCTACTTCTCCATACATAGTCTAACCTCCTGTGTAAAGAGTAATGTCCCATTAAAAGCAGACAAACCCCCAGAAAAAGGAGAAAATGTGGGAGCCTGGGTCATTGTTAAATGTTATATCCAACTCTGAATAAATGAGACAATTTTCTTCTCAGCTTTGCCATCAGCTTGACCTGTGGTGACTCGGAAGATCCTCCGGCTGATGTGGCAATTGAACTCAAAGCTGTGTTCACAGACCGGCAGCTACTCAGAAATTCTTGTATATCTGGTGAAAGGGGTGAAGAACAGTCAGCAATCCCTTACTTTCCATTCATCCCAGACCAGCCATTCAGGGTGAGTACCTCGAGTGCTTCGGCTCCAACCACTGGCAGGGTGATGATGTTTTCCTCCTCTTGTGTGTGCCAAGAACACTTTAAGCAGCCAGAATTTTTGCATGTCCAGGAAATTTGTCACCCAATAGTGAAAAAAGATTAAAAGAGCTCTATTTGCTGATAGGAATTAATACTCTCAGTAGTAATCTTGGCTGTATTTAGCCAATACATTTAGTAAATAAATTCATATTTACATTTCCTGATTGTTAAGACTACTTTTCTATGTAGTGCTCAACATAGTAGTGGGCATATAATAGATACCTGTCTCAAAAACAGTTGATTGATTAAGAAGTACAGATTTTCCTCATTTTTTTCTCAATCTTTAAAAAGCACTAAACCTCATTAGTTATGACTTTTTAAAGAATATAGTGATTATCATTTCATTTTCTTAAAGCCTGGCTATGTCTTTGTTTCCCCATATGGGTTAAGTAGCCTCAGTCTATTTCATTGTCACAGGCTGTGTGGCTGACAAATTCTTTCCCTTGGGCTTGGATGCGTATAGATTTGCTCCCCACTATCTAGCGGGCAGTAAGCACAGCCCAAACGTCCCATCCAGTTAAGCGGGATTAGCAGCATCTTCCTCTATGAAGTAAAACACCAAGTAAGAGAAGCAAGTCAGTAGTGTGTTAAGAAAGGATTTACTGAAATGTCAGAACTTATGATGAACCTGTCCACATTATACCTTGTTAACAAAAATCACAATAATGACAACTCGGTTAAAAGCTCTATGTTGCATGTACTTCTTTTTGTTGTTAGTTTATTTATCTTTATTGTTGAAAATATTACAGATACTGTCTTTTTCCCTCCATTAACCCTTCCACTCCATACCCACTTCCCACCCCAGGCCTTCACCACTATTATCTGTGTCCAGGGGTTATGCATATATGCATATAAATTCCTTGGTTAATCTCTCCCCACCTTCCCTTTGAGATTCATCAATCTGTTCCATGCTTTTATGTCACTGAATCTGTTTTGTTCATCAGTTTATTATGTTCTTTAGATTCCACATATAAGTGAGATCATGTGAGCATGTACTTCTAATAAACCAGAACTACCTACCTGTTGCTCTTCATCTAGAAATTTACAAGGGTCTTATGAAGAAGTAATTACTTTTCCTCCCATCTTATAATCTGGAAGGAAAATAAAAATCCATGACTTTTCACATCAGTGACTGAATTGAGATTGTTGCCCTTCTAATCATAGTCTGGGGAAGGCACCCCTACCCATTATCCCTGCCCTCCCCTTTCTCTAGGATGGTAATGGCCCCTTTGGCTCCTCTTGACTGTCACAGTTTCTTAATTATGAATCTTAATGCATAGCTCATGAGTGTGAGTAACCAGAGCTTCTGACTGCCAAGAGGAATATAATGCTCCACACCGACAAAATTGAAATGAAGTCGGCCCTTCTTGGTGATATAATTTTAGTAATAATATGAATTAAATGTGACTAATATCACATATGGAGTCTTTCCTTGCATGGTGAATACCAAGGCTTTTAATAAATGCATAGCACAGAACCAATAATTAAACTCTATAGTGAATTATTTAAGTTAAGGAAAAGAGGAAGAAAAAAGCTTTTACCATATGGAATCAGTATTTCTGTTTGGCTTAACAAAGCCTTGTTAATTATACATCCTTGGTCCAATGGTAATTACTGTGTAACCTCTTTGCTTTAGTGTATACCAGGTTTGCGTGTCTAGACTATTATTACGTGCTACTAATGGGTATCAGTTCTGCCTTGTGGGAGGCTCCTCTGAAGGTGGGATAGATTGTTCAGGGGGGTGACAGTGGCAGCATTAAGTGCTATACAAATAAAGCTATGCCATCTTCACTCTCTGGAATGCAAAGGGAAAGGAGAAATGTTAAAGCATGAGCAATTTTAAATCTTTAAAGGATATTAATTTGCTTTAAAGAATAAAGCAATGGTTGACGAAGCGTGTTCCTACTTCCAGCAAAAGTAGCATCCCCTTGGAACTTGGCGGAAATGTAGATTTTTAGATCTTATCCTAGACCTACTAAAATGAAAAATTCGGAGGTGGAGCCCAGGAATCTGTGTCCTAACAAACCTTCTGTATGATTCCAATGCACTCCAACATGTGAGAACCACTGAAGATGTTGCCTTCTTTCTCTAAAGTGAAGTATTCTTTGTTTGTTTTCCCTACCAGGGTTCATTGAAATTGTGAACTGAGATAATTATTTTGTTTCTTCCAGGTGGAAATTCTCTGTGAGCACCCACGTTTCAGAGTGTTTGTGGATGGACATCAACTTTTTGATTTTTACCACCGCGTTCAAACGTTATCTGCAATTGACACCATAAAGATAAACGGGGACCTCCAGATCACTAAGCTTGGCTGATGTTTAAACCACCTCCATTTCAAATAGGATCAGGTGCCACAACTCTCTGACTGTTGGTCTGGAAGCAGTGTCTTAACAACATCTGGAGACTTAAAAAGAGAACAAAAACAAAAGGCAGACTTCACTGTCTCTTCTTTGCAGTTTAAACCCAAAATGACAACTTCAGCCAAGGTTTGCCCTTAGGAAGCTGTTGGAACAAAGACACCGAGCCATTATTCCCAGAACAAAGTAATACATTTATGCTGGATTTTATTCAGACTAAACTGAAATGGATTTGTGATGATTTGTGATTTGGTTGCAAGTTATTCATCTTTTCAAAGCAAGGTGATGTTTAGAAACACAAGTGCTAAAGACTTAAAATAACAACAACAAAAACTGTACACCGAAATCAACTCATTTCTGCACTGAAGTGGAATTGCGTAGCACAACCAACCTTTTAGTCAGGGTATTAACATAGAATGTAGGTTCAAGGTTTGTGTGGTTGTTTTTTGGGCTTTTGGGTTTTTTTTGCACAGCATAATGTTAATTCAGATTTTTAAAGCTTTCTCATATTTATTTATACTCAACATATGTATTAGAAAATGATTAATATCTGAAGAACAAGTTAGGAACTTTTGAATGTACAAATATCTTAGGTCCAACGGGGGAAAGATACATATTACAATCATGAAACAGGTGAATTTCTACCTTAAAGAATTGAGTCATATCCTCCAGACCCCTAAATTTAGGATCTCTTGATATAAATTGCTGTAAGTGCTTTTGGGAAGACTTTGCAACATTTCGGTAAAACTTGTTTCAAGTTATTGACAATTAATGTAAAATTCTATTTACATTGGTTTTTCTCCTTACTGTGAATTAACACAGTATTGGCTTCCTTAAGATTGACTAGCTACTTTTTTCTAGATTTACATAATGGCTCCTTAAGTTGCTATTAAACTAACTGACAACCTAAAAGAGGTGATTGCTAAATGACAATTCTATAAACTTGTAAGAATATAATATGAATATGATTCTGGAATGCAGTGTAAAGCAGAAGCAAATAGCCCCAAATAACTCACTTGCAAATAATTTATATCAACATAAGCTATTAACTCATTGTTTCACTTTTATTATGTGACCCTCACCAGTATCCCTAAGCAATGCCTTTGCAGCTTCAGAGTAGCGGATGCTTCCTACTTTGTTGGCTCTGCTGAGATACTGCGATAAAACAGGATCCAGATAGGCAATGATCCGATTAGTTTATCTAAAAGGTTAACTCCCAGAACGCCAGGTCTCTGAGTCCCACCAATAGTGTGAATGCTCCCAGTTAAGCTGAAGGAGTTTTCCTGCACTCACGGAACTGATCAGGCGGGCAGTGCCTCTCCAGGAGGAGCCTGCACTACTGTCAGTGTCATGGAGAGGCAGAGGAATGGTAGGAGTCCTGGGTGCTAAACTTCCCAAACCGCATTGGCCTTGGAGAGAAGGATCCTTGGCATTGCTTTGGCAGGTAGTGGGGGCTGGGGAGAAGGGG